AAAAAAAGACTAGTTGTGTCTAACATCGTGAGCATGAATCATAATTCTAGAAAGCATCCTAATGAGAATTTAGTGACTATACAATGTGGGGGAATAAATACTCTTCAGGAACTTTGAAAAACATATGATTCATTTATTAGAGTAACAGAATACAATTTATGTTTGAAATGATTAAAGAAAACAATGACGTTGACCAAAATTTAGAAACCATATTATTTCAAACAAATGTGTCCTTTGACTGTCTGTATGAGATTAATTAAATTGAGAATTAAGCAGGCGTTCAAAATTTAGAATAAAGTTAAAGATGTAGGGAAGTGCATGGAAGAAAGTTTATTACATTAATTTAGTGTTAGTAAAAATTGCATGATTTAATAATATATTTTATTGATTACAAACGGAACAAAACAGGAAATCAAGAATTGCAGGAATATAGTAATCGCTAAAGAGATAATAGATTTGCAAATCGAGGCCTGTATATTACACGGTGTCCATAAAATAGATTCGCCCCTCATCGTAAGTTTTTGAGGTTTCGTTGGAGCGTCTCCCCCGGAATACAATGGAAGGATCAGCAAAAACTGAACGATTGAGTTTCTATTTCGAGGAACTAAATTTGATTAGAATTATTACCAAGACTTTTTGACAAAAAGTAGAAAAATTTGAAGCAAATAGAAACTAATAAGTATACAGAGACAGTAAAGAATGGAATTTGTGTTTGTGGTGAGGGAAAAATCCAAGCTCTATTATAGGCTCCAAGAATGAGTGATTAATGGCTCCATCAATGAGTGACTTGAAAGACCAATGTTACTACTATTAACACTATCATTATTTCGACTATATAACTGCCACCATTAACATAGACAGTTAAATAAAAGAGTTTCAGGAGTTAAGAAGTTGGAAAGTCAGTCGAAGAAAAAAATAGTAAATAAAGGCTAAACATGGAACTTCCAAGGGGTCAATTTCGATTACATTCGTGTATGCAGGTTGTGCCCCCGCACACATGTTCAATGGCCAATGTGCTAATCCGTGAAAACAGCCCTTATGCTACACATGATTACACCTTGTGTAGCCATACGTAAACTAGTCATTGCCGTGCTCATTTCCCTACGTGGAATTATCAATCCAAAGCTTGAACCTCTTTCAATGGGTGCACTTTAAACTCCAATTTCTCATTCACCACCCAAGCATCATATTTGGCAAATGAAAATATGATTTTGATATCTTATGGAGAAGAATACGAGTCTACTTAGATATTTGGAAAAGAAGAAACTGCTCCACATAAAAATATGACAAAACAGCCCCATCTATAAGCCATTTTCCAACATCTAGAACATTTGTTCCAACATATATTCTGCAGAGTGCAGACTAATCAAATAGCATCAAAACTTAAGAAAATTTTAAAACCCCCCAAAAGAAAGAACAGGCGCTTGATCTAAAAGATTAAGTTATTAGAGAGAAGACATCACAATCCAGAATTCGTTTCTTTCTCCAAAGACTTTGTGCAATTTTGAATTTTCATGAATAGTTTGCGAGAGACTTGAATTCAACACACATATATTCAACCAACTATACTTAACCACCTCACGTCATCTAAAATCTCAAGCAGTTAAATCGAAGTGGTGCTTACCTCAAGATCCCTTTTGAGAAAATGGAAAGTAACAGCAAATTTGACCATCATAAACCTAGTTCCACCATCTGGGAAAATCCAAAACGAAGCAAGACCAGCAAGAAATGCTGGGGTGTAGAGTAACAGCATCCCAGTTTTACTAGAAAGCAAGATCTGGTGGGATTTCTTGGAACCGACGTTCCAAAATTTGGAATACTGAAGGTGTTTGCCTACGAATTCCAACACAGCCAAACATGCGGTTATTAGAAGGATCATCACAGACATTGCTGTGAGGTAGATAGAGGAGGGTTCTTGGTAAACGCAAGCTTGGAACATTTCTGCAACAATCTGTCTTTCTGATCAATGTTTAGGTTCATCCACCCAACAACGAACTCTATATATAATATATTAAACTGTTGAAGAATTATATGCGGCTTATTTGTCGGCTAGCAAGTCAATGGCATATGATTCATGATGAGAAGTGATACACGTATATCGAGTTTGACAGCTCGGTGTACCACCCCTCACAAGAAGGGACTCGCGTGAGAGGGTTCACAATTTTTTTATTGGATGCGAACCCACTTTTTTTTGTAAGAGGACTGTACACCGAGCTTGATCCGATGTACAAACATCAAATTCCATGATTTTATGTGTCATCTTACATGATACGGATAGATTTGGCAGTAGAAAGGTCAACTCTGTACTGGAAACGGCAGGGATGAAGAACATAAGCATTAAAAATCAATGGAGGCGAATTCACACTATTACATTATTATCTGGTGTAAATACTCAACTTGGAGTTTTGGTTCATGTTGGCCCCAAGAGGTGGAAATACTTCTATCCATTTCTCACGAACTGAGAGACAAAGGAAATGGTTCTTTAAGGCTTTCCAGTCATTTTTTCTCCTTTACACGAAGGTAGAAAAATGAATTTGTCTTCTATCAAAACTTTTACTAAAGCCCCGTTCGTTTCTCTTTAAAACAAATTTTCTTTAATTCTGATTACACATTCACGTAATAAAATATTTTACACGTAAATTTAAAATTTTTCTTACTTTTTAATTACACGTTCTCAAATAATAATAATAACTATTTGAAATATCATTTTTCTAAATAATTACCATCAAATAAGGGCTAAAAATATAGTCATGCAAAATAACTGCATTGCCATTTTTGACAAGGACCACTGAGTATTCTAAATGGACCTAAAACTCTTATCAACTTTTAATTCCAAATTCGAACTTGAGAATATAAATTGACAAGAAACTCTAGTCAACTATATAATAACCTAATTTTCTCTACATGTCGTTAACAAAAGTATAGGGACCAAATTGCTCAATAACCATAGTTTAAGGACCAATTTATATAGAGACTAAGGTTCAGGGACAAATTACACATCAACTATAATTTAGGGATCGTATCGCTTATCAGTGAAAGTTTAGGGGTCAAATTTTATATATATATATATATATATATATATATATATATATATATCATCTAATTATTGCATGTTTTTATTATGGTAAGGAATAATTGAATGCAAATATAGGTAATTACCATATATAACATATACGTATATGTTAACTATCATAATTAAAAGAAATAATTAAGGAAACTTTCCTTTTTATTTAATTATATCAAAAATCGAAAAGATAATTACCATATATATATATTATGTACCTATATGTTAACTACCATAAGTAAATGATTCAATTAAGGAGAACCACGAAGTTCGATTTTTTAGTAATTTCGTCTCTCATCAAGTATGTTCACGAATCTCACGGACTTCTGTTATTCATGTAATGCTATTTCACTTATTGAGATCATCATCTCATATGAATCATGAAATTTTTTTTAGGTAATAATTAATCCATGTTTTGAGATGGATGAAGATTGGGTGAGCACTCAATGATGGATAATAAAACATTTTGATAAAGTTATTTTAAAATTTATTTATGTTTTGATGATCAGATTATTTTAGTTGTGAAAACTCTAAGATTGAATATGTTGTTTCAAAATTTTCTTTTCTTTTCGAAAACTTTTATGTATTAATAAAGTGATTGTTTAATGATTTTTTTCGTATGTTCAAGAAATTTTTTTTTTTTTAATTCTTTACAAACTAATTTGATGAGAATGCCTACAAATTCTTGCAGAAAGTAAGCGCGAGTGCGTAAATGGACAAGAAACTCTAGTCAATTTTTCTTGATTTGATAAGGACATCTAAAGGAAAATGGAGAATTTGATAATGAAACATGGGTTTACCGGCATTAAAGTAGTTGACAAATTTCATTTTCTTACAAAAACTGGTTTTGGCGTGATTTCCTCAATAAATTATTAGGTTTGAAATATTTAAATTCATAAATTGTATTAATGGCATTTCCAACTATTTTATATTAGTGGGCCTAAGCACAAATACTTATTCATATTTTTATTTGAAAAAAATTCCTAAATAATAGTTCTTCAGTAACATAAAATATCCAACACATCGCCCCAAGAACTAGCCGAGTTTAGACCAAAGAAATCATGCCTTCACACATGAGAAACGTCTAAAATATCGACCATAAATTTCAACAAAATGTCAGTTTGAACAAGTTTTTCTTCTTTGTGCTGCTGCTAAGCTGAGAAATCCTCACACTGTTATTGATTATTATGGAGAAAAAAGAATGAATTAGAAATATTTGAGCAAATGGTAAGTCAACAATATACATTTCTCCTCTCTCTTCACCTAACATTCACCAAATTGGGAGAGCAAAAATAAAATAAAAATACAGGAGGAGGGAGGAAGTTAAAAATGTGTCTATACCCCTCTATACATCCCCATCCAAAATTTTTACAAGGGAACCAAGTTGAATTTCCACCTGAATACCCTCAACACAATTGTGAGGTGCTCGAGAAAGCGGCTAGGTACGGAATATTGACAGGCTGCATATGCTACACCAACTTTGTAGAAAAGGAATTGCAAATCAACTGTAACTCTAGCTGCACATATATTGCCTTTCCTTACTAATTTACTCCCCAGTGTTCGAAACCCCTACAGCTGATGAAGCTTTGCAGTTCAGGTGTGCTTTAATTTCATGAATATTTACTAATTGCAGATTCTAACTGGTTTCTCATATGTATGCCGGTTCTGCAACATCAAGGTGAAGTTCAAGTTCAATAACATTTCAGTAATGTAAAGCTTTGAGGACCATTAGCATATCAACTCAATATATTACAAACCTTAATCCCTGTAACTCACGCTTATTTACAAGATGCATGTTATAAAACACTCGTTTAATCCAACTGGAGCACTGAAGAAAGTTGACAATCCCTTCCACAGTCCTCTTTTATCTAAAGAGTTAAAAAGGAACTCAAAATAACAATTACTAGCATAATCACCAACTAAATTGTGATCACGCACTTCAGCCTATGGGATTGTGCCAGAGATTACATCGAATTGATTTTAATTTATTGAAATAGAATGCATAAGAGGACGAGTTTGGTATACAGTACTGAATAGGATTAGACAGCAATAGACAAAGATTTCAACTTATTTTCTACCTTGAAGTAATTGAGGAGGCAAGTAAGTGAATCAAGTTTCCAATTAAATACCTCGTTGACTTTAGTATAAGTTCCATACAAATGCATACCTGTCTGGCAGCATAAGACCGTTTCGGAACATTATCAGAATGCTCTAATCCAAGGTATTGTTCCCAAGCACCGTAAACATCTCTTCTCTGGGATGAAAAATTAATATTAAAATGAAGAAAACATAGGTAACATGTATGCGTGTGCGCGCGTGATAGAGAGAGAGATTCCAAGTGATTGGGGATGAGGGGTTTTAATTTCAAAGTACCTGAAAATGACTTAATACAATGTCAGTGTCTCGAAGATACTCGGTACGACCAAAATTCAAAAATGCCAACTTCCACTAGAAAGAAAGACAAGCTCAGAAGTTGGAATCAAAAGAAAATTGTATTCGAGAAAAAAGCCACTCATTACAGAGGTGATCAAGTGATAGGGGGGAAAAAAATTCTACAAGTACCCTGGAAAACTCCTCATCTGGAACCTGCAACTTCTTCTGAATGCGTACTTTAACCTCAGCCAAAGTTTCACCGTACTGGTATCAGAAACTAAAGAAAACTTGCATTAAAGGGAGGAAAATGACTGTATGCTAGAGCTAGACAACTTTCAATAACTAGTATTCATTCTTGTCTAGTCCATTGAAGAATGATATGAAAAACATACTTGCGTGTTTAATACAGAGTCAACAAGTTTATATAGGTTGTCAAGTGGCATGTCATCCTAGGCAAGATTCAGCAATGGAACTTTTGCTTATATTAAATTGTAGTACCAATGCTTTTAGAAATGAGTCAAGTTGCTAGTTTGCAGGAATTGTTTGTTGCCTTCAATTTAACAGTATTTTAATTTCTACATCAATATTTGAGACTCCTTTTCTCATTTCCATTTTCAGTGGGACTTCAGCTTATATTAAATTGTAGTACCAGTGCTTTTAGAAATGAGTCAAGTTGCTAGTTTGCAGGAATTGTTTGTTGCCTTCAATTTAACAGTATTTTAATTTCTACATCAATATTTGAGACTCCTTTTCTCATTTCCATTTTCAGTGGGACTTCAGCTTATATTAAATTGTAGTACCAGTGCTTTTAGAAATGAGTCAAGTTGCTGGTTTGCAGGAATTGTTTGTTGCCTTCAATTTAACAGTATTTTAATTTCTATATCTATATTTGACTCCTTTTTTCATTTCCACTTTCCATTTTGTAACTCTTGTTTCCACAGCATGTAACACCAGTCTAAACTCCAGTTATCATGATTAAAAAAATAAATAGAATATATGCAAGTGACAACATAAAAACAAAGTAGAATAACTTAGGCTGCCTGGTTGTGTCAAAATAGTTTCATTTAGCTTAATTTGAAATGTTAATAAATAAATTTCATTTACATATGAAATGTCTATTATTAATGTGTTCCGATTTGCAACAAAAATATTACCATTCTGGACTCTAACATGATTCACATTTTGCCAAAGTAGGATTTCTCAATGCAAACCCAGATATGCGGATAATGCCCAATGAGCTTGTTATGTTATTTATTAAGAAGAAAAAAACAAATAAAATTTGAACAACGCCGTTACCTCCTCTGCATGTAACGTCCAGCATTGATCATTTATATTCTCGATTTTTTCATGATGAGGGAAAATCTGCAGATTAACAGCAGCAAAATTATGTTATAGGAATAAAATATATCAAGACGAATATGCTCAAGCACTAAATAGATGCAGGATAAATTTCATAAAGAGCACATATAACGAAGAGCATGATAAATTTCACAAAACCAAAACTGGTGATGGTGTAAAAGCGAAATGTGAGCACAAAGGGAAGGTAGGAGAATCTTTTTCCACACTATGTTCCCTCCTTTACGGAATGAATGCTAATTTAACCTCTTGGGAATGATGATGAGAAATTTGTTGGAAAAAGAAAATTGGATATATTTAGATGGATGCATGGTTGAAATGTTGTCACATATAATTAGAACCAGGAATACATGCCTTCCACCTTACTTCTTTTTTCCTTTGTCGTTTTCCAGTTCCAAATGATGGAAAACCATTTTCATGTCTCGTTTCCCCTCTACATTTCCTTTCCTATGCAGTTTTTCCTCTTGATGGACACACCCAAGGACTATAAAATAGCAAACTATGAAACTAAGGGGCAATGTTGTGTGCAGGCATGCATCTGGTGGACTTTGGTTGGCCAAAACAATGGAGTAACATTTAAAGTCAAGTCCAGTCCAGTCGGCCATCAGCCAAGATTTGTCTACCCAATTCGGAGCCTTGTTGTGCTAGTGCCAGCCTTGACCAATCCATGCACTTTGTCTTCCTACTTTCAATTTTTTTTTTTACCGTTAAAGCACAGTAATGATAAGTATTGTACTAAAAAAGAATACAATAGAAAGAGAATTTTTGGTGGTGATAGCATTTACACAAGTCCCCAGCCAAAAGACAAAAGGAGCTTTTTACTTCATCTTTTAACAAGGATTCACACGTACAAAATATTAAGGTTGTTTAAGTCATAGATTTATGTGAGAAGATGGGGTTGAATGCACCCACGGGCTTAATCCTTAGCCCAAGCCAAACCATAATTAGCGGGTCGCGCAGGCTTCAGAAAAGAATACCTAATGAAGTGTAGTGAAAGTGAGTAGCCACACTGGAAATTTAGATCAGGTGCACTTTTTGCTGATGAGCTCAACCACTCACTGACTGACTTCACCGGAACTGCTTGGTGCACACAAGCTTCATGAGTCATATTTTATTGGCCATTTAAACTAATGAACTTCACCTATACATGAGTTTGGAAATATTCTAAAGAATTTCCTCTTTATCTTGCATTTGAAAAAATGTTCTATCACGCGTAAGTCACTGAATAGACACGGCTTAATTAGTACAAATATTTGCAAAAACATTTAATGAGCAGTAGACTGACCCCTCGAAAAATTCCACACAATGGCTACAGTGCACAATGCTATACGAGGGATGGCGTGTCCATTAAAGTAATCAGCACCTCAAGCAATACTAAAATTATCCCCCCAGGAAACAGTGAGAATCAATAAAGAGAAAGGAAAATATACAAGAAGCTACAGTAGAAACTAGCACAACCATCTGAAAATCAAAAAGCAATTCCAGAAATTCAGGACAACTAAACATCTATGCGATATCCAATTTTCAACTCACTCAAAATTGAAATAAAACCTATATTGAAGGAAAGGAAAACAGATGCTACTGAATGTATGAAATCATATTGGCTACATCAAAAAGCTAGTAAATAAGTACAACAAAGCTTTCAAAATTCCAAAAATGGCTCAAATGTTTCATAAAAACCTTTACTTTCAAAAAGTAGGGAGAGCAGAAAATTTTGTATGTGAAAGGAGGCAAGTCCAAACAAATTCCATCAATATGAAATTCTCCAATGAATGCCCAACAAATTCACCATGAAAGAAATGAAAATAATTTGCAGAATCCATCACCTTATATATCTTGTGATAGAAAACCTCCAGCAATCTCAATTCAGCCTCAGGATGAGACAAGTCAACCTGGTCCATATTATTTCACTAAATATGAGACATCTTCACCTATATCTGTTACATATAAAGTTTCTAAAACATGGTTTGAGGCATATATTTTGAAAATACTGTTCGAAGAAGAGGACATACAGCAAAGAGGTGATATAACAAATACCCAACATAAACTATGGTGACATATATTGCCCCTAATCTAAACTATGATGTTTTCCTTTTTCTTTCCATTCAGGAAATTAACATTTAGATTGAGATCTGGATGCCAAACCCGACCAATCACAGTTCAAGTGAGAATCCACTATCCCTTCCTACTGGTCACTCACCTTCAGGTAAGAGACAATCAAATGGGAAGTGAAAATCCACTTGTCCTGTGATTTGGTTTAGTTCTGGCCACACCTGCTCTGATGTAGACTTATCCCCATTTTGACACAGATACAATGTTTTAAGCAGAAAAGGTAGCAGGACTCACCCTGGTCTTGAGATCATTAATGACATCCCACACAGTACTGTGTTTAGGTAACCTTATGGTATGAATAACCACCTGAAAATGTTGGCCGATGATGAATGAGCATAGGAAGTAAATACAGATTCACCCGAAAAATGGCTTGGCCCTTTGTACTCGGGGCTTCAACACCCAGGGTAAGCCTCTGTAGCCTTGGGCTTAGGCCTACACTTGGGGATACTTTTAACAACTATCTGTCAAACACAAAATCACGAAATATGCAATAGACCAATACTCACGTCATCCTTGGTGGCATGATGAAAAGCAACTTTAAGAGTTTTGAGGCCTTGCAGTTCTGGCAAAGGAATATCCAACACTTCATAATACAAAATATCCGAAATCTACCACAGAGAAGGAAAGTTGTGTCACAAGAATCATAAGACTGAGTATTCAATATAAAAATGAATCTAAATCTCCAATCAGGTTAGCATCAATATCATTAAACTACCTGATTATATTGAACAAGCATGTCTGTAAGACGGTCCACTCCACGGTACTCTATTGGTTGAGGTTGAGGTTGTTGTGAGTAGCAGTTATGCGGTGTAAGCCTGATTTTAGATGGATCCTCCATGCCAAGATGGCGAGCCAAACTTTCTACGACTTCATCGTAATTGTTCTGCTTTGAACTGGAAATTTGTATTAACACCGAGACAGCAAAATATGGCAACCCAAAAGACAAATAATAATTTAGTAATACTATAAAATTTATTAGCAGAGATACATACAGCTCCAAACAGAATTCATCGTCCTTGAGTTTCTCCAATGAACGAAAGTGAACAACCTATGAATAATTGAACACCATACTGAAAACTTGACCAAAACAATATAGAATGCAAAAAAGTTTCAAGAATATACACACACTGCCGTTGCTAAAAATAGCAAGCTATCAACTTAAAGGTTAGCATTTTGCCAAAGGTTTAAGTATCCATTGGTTAGGATTACCTAATTATTCATCCCATGTTTACCTCACGTGTAATGATTTCTAATACTCAGTGCATTTACGAGATAAGATCATAATATACAATGGCTTTGATGGATGAAATGATGTCTTCCATCATATAATTGATGGTACAGATAAGAAAAAGCGGGGGTTGTGCTTGGTGTACATAATTTACGTACATAGGGGTGTGGACAGGTGGGACGCGAGTCCTGGGTGGACACCCCTATGTATATATTTTATGTACACCAAGACTTATCCAAAAAAAATCCCATCTAAGATATTGACAATGGAGGGACACACACATCCAATAGATTTGACACATTTTAGCTCCTATACCTATAGAATATATAAAATCATGGAAGGACCTGTAAATTTAAGAAAGAGATAGGGGTGAAAGAAAGATAAGCAAAATAAGTATCGTTAATACCAATAAGTCTTAAATAACTCTAAAAGATAACAACCAATAACACAAAAAATTGTTAAAAGCTACTTCTACATTTCTAGCTCGTTTGCTAATGCGCATTAGATAACATTAACACTAATGATGAAAAAAAAGTTAAAATCTTGTCCATTATATAATCGAATACAAGCCAAGCATGTTCTTCATGCTCTATTTTCCAGTAAAAAAATATGAGTTGGTAACTTAGTAGTGGAGAGTTCACAAATAATAATACTTTTTCGTTTATGGTCTGATTTATGCTATTATAACATTAAGCAATTCTAAAACCTGACAATTACTCTTAAGACTAAAACATATAGGGAATTTATAAAATCCTTAATATTATTCTAATAAAGCAACTGTAAAGTACAAAGAATGTGACATGACGTAGGACTCGCAAACAAAAACATAAAATCTAGGTCATTCCATCAAGCTTTCTGCATTCCATGACTATCAATTATTTTAGCCATTTCAGAAAAATGTTTATTGAAGCTAGTACTCACATCTAAGTAAACCACATGAGATTGGAAATTCTAGATGATAAAGAGCATTAAAATAGATTGAAAATTTCTAAATTTAGCCCACGTGAAACCTAAACCAAAAGAAAAACTGAACCACAATTTGATTCACCCAAGAAGGTTACGAGGCATATTTTCAAGGTTAAGGGCATACCAGGCGATTACGCACATAATCCAAAAATGCAGGGACAATTGGATAACGATATTGTTCACTGCTTTGACTTTGAAGGGATTTCTGAAAGCAAATGATATCCCCATCTTCAAGCTACAAAGAGGAAGAGCAACAAAAGAAATTATCACTAATGGAGCAGGAATTTGTCATATGATGAAACTGATGGGATGATAATTAAAAGAAGCAATTGACATAAACCTGATTGCCACAGAAACTTAGCTTCTTGTCAACATATTCACACGTGACGTTAGGTTCAAATTTGATTTCCTTCACACGAAAAAGTAAAGTAAATAATTGGCAACAGTACAAGAGCAAGATCAATATGGGGCGGGGAGGTAGGGGAGGAGGGAGAGAACTGACCTCAAAGAGTTCAATTTCTTCATTGGGAGCAAAGCCAGCCATTTCATTAAGCTTTATCAATATGTCTGTTGGTTTACCATTGACTTTCACGAAAAGCCGTCCAACATACCTGATCACAATGAATAAAGAACTCATGAGTAGAGATACGATTATTTCCCATAGCAACGAGACTCTAAACCTTGCAAAGCACCAAAAGATTCTGGAGGATGCAGGAGGCTGAAATAATGATTTAGAGTTTTTTAATTGCAGAGAATCACAAATTCAATATAACTATGAAACTATCAGTGTTGTGAACCCAAGGAAGCAGCTTAACAAGCGTTTTGTAATATCTGATTTCCACATATCATATTCCCATTCCTATTCCTACTCCTACTTATCTTAATGTGCCAGATGTGAAATCTAAGCCCCCGTTATCCCAAAAATTTATCCCTCTTCTTTTCAATCACACAATCTTCCATAAAATAATATTACACGTAAATCGAAAAATTTTATATCTTTTTCAACCACACACTCTCCAAAAAAATAGTATTCCAAAAATGAAAATTGCCACATAATGGGGGCCAAACGAGGGCTAAAGTCGAATTTCAGACATGTTTTGGAATACAGAAAGAATAATCGAGAACAGGGTTCAAATATAGCTGCAACTCATCTTCTGAGGCATCAGTGCATAACATTTTCATCTAATCAGCAATAAATGAGCACGTACCGCAGCTCCTCTTTGATGGGATCATAAGTTTTGAAGAACAGAAGAATATCCTCCTTAGTTTTCTCGGGAGGAGGGATAGGCTGCAAATCCTACATAGAGGAACATATCATTAAGCACAAAAAAAAAAAAAATAATAATAATAATAATAATAATAATAAATAAATAAATAAATCACTATAATCACCAAGACAGAAAGATATGTGATTTAGCAGAGCCTATTACCAAGTCATGTTCTACTTCCAAGAACAATTTTAGCTCAGCATTATTTGCTTTGCTGCATACTTCTCTCAATTGTCCAACCTGAATGCAAATTAAGGACAAAAAATTGTAAATGCACACAAAATCAATCAACCACCATTAGACAACTTCAACAAAATATGAAAGTAATCAAACATAATTTTACCAAGGAAGAAAGCTTTCCAAAAAAAAAATTGATGAGGTAATAAGAGCAAGAGCTCTGGGCCAAACAGCCAATATGATTTATACGTGTAACTAAAGACAATCATGAACATTACCAAGCCACTTCCCCAGCCCCCTCAATTTTTGTATTTGATGAGGAAAGCACTTGAGAAAAAGAGAGCTTATGGGTTAGTAATGTCATGAATGAGTACGACTGGCATAACAAGCTACCAGCCTTTTAGTTGTTCATATCATATTGAAAATCAATATCAACATCCAACGGAGGAGCAACTTTAATTACTGCTTCACGTTTAAAAAGCAACTCTTGTTAAAAGCATAAATACACACATAAATGGTAAAACCTCTTGCTGCATATCCAACATATGTTCTATCACATTTCTTGATAACATGATGGAACTTGGAAGCAGCAAAAGAATAAAAAAATAGACAACAAGAGAGAAGGGAAAAGATTCAGCAGTCAGGAAGTAAGATACCACAAAATATATTCAATTTGAGAGAGTTGAATTTCCAGGATTAGTCACTTCAACTCTTCAACAGCCTTCAATGGATATTCAAGTATCCAAAGTAAAAACAAGGTTTCTAAATGATCAAAATATTTAACTAGTTTGCGTATCTTGGTGGTGGTTACTTTTTATGATCCTAGGTCGGAACAAATTGATAGGATTCCCATCTTACGTCCCAGTTTCCCCACCCTGTAATACCAGAAGATAACATCTTTCTCCAAATTCAGCCACAAAATAATTACCAACCCTTGAAGACATTTTTAATGTATGTCACTTAAAGCAAGATTCTTGAGTAGTATTACACCAAATGCAGAAATGAAAACTAAGTAAATTAATCCTTTTTAGGATCCATGAGAAAAAAATAATGACTTGATCAAAACTATAAGGTACAAAAAGGTCAACTAAAGAATATTCTAAATGCTGGTGCTGAAAGCTTCATCAACAAACTCTTCAAGAAATTTCAGTGTCTCATTTACCTACTGTTCTTATATTGAAAATTGAATATCCATCAATTACCAACATCAATGTGCATCTTTTTTCTTTTTTCCACCATGTTACATTGGTCTTTTCATAATTTTTTTTTGGATAGGTAATCAAATAATTTTATTACTTAAAAGAGAATACACGGGGGGTGTACAATCACTTTAAGCTATTAAGGAAAGACATGAAATTAGGCCACCCATCTACAGGATTTCTAGCCACAGCATTAAACCAAGAATACAAGGTAAAGTAAAATGTTTCTCTTATCTGCTCTCTTGTCTTTGTTTGGTCTTCGAAGCAACGGTTGTTCCTTTCTCTCCACACGCACCAAACAATACAACCCGGGATAAGGTGCCATACTAGTTTGCTATCTTTATCCCGAAGTTTTCTACGCCATGCCCGTATCACGTCCTCTATACGATGAGGCATCACCCAATCCATAGATTGTGAACTGATTATACTGTTCCAAATCCAACGTACACCATCACAATGAATGAACAAATGATCAATTGTCTCCCCATCCTTCTTACACATATAACACCACTCGGTTGCATAAAAGCCTTTACGACGAAGATTATCTACCGTTGAGACCTGTCCCCTCACAACTGTCCACAATAGGATTGCCACCCGAGGAGGCAATTTACACTGCCAAACCAACTTCCATGGGAATGAATTATTCACACATCCCATGAGGGAACCAAAGTACAAGCAAACCGAAAAAATGCCATCCTGTGCTATCCTCCACCTGATGCAATCCCTCTCTCCAATTCGAATTTGGGCCTCATGTAAAATGGTCATAAATAGTGAATAATTTTCCAATTCCCAATCCTGAAGATCCCTCCCAAAAGTTATATTCCAACTATAACTCCCATTATGAATGTCTAAGGAATCACTCACCATGGCAGTGGACACTGAGGCAATACGATACAAAGAAGGGAATCTCTCCTTCAGCGGTTGATCTCCGCACCAACAATCATCCCAAAATTTAATCTCATTACCATTTCCAACCACAAACTTCAGTTTGTCCAAAAATGCACTCCATCCCCGTCGGATATACCTCCACAAGCTCACCCCATAAGAACCACGATCCTCAAATGTACACCATCCCCCAT